CGGCCTGGCGTCAAGGATAATGATTGGATAATATTTTTAGAATATGATGCATTAAGCAATTATACATTTTTTGCATTCTTTATCTGAACCAGGAATCGCCAACAAATTCACCAGAGGTTTTTCCTTTTTCTTCGCGCGTTTTCTCGCATTTCGCGTAAAAACCTCTGGACCAGGGTACAAAAGATCATGCTGATGAAGGAAAATAATTCTTTAATAAAATTCTGTACGTAGTCGCATATGCACTCCATAATATTTCACGCACCACGGTTCAGCATATGTGCAATTGAAAAGGCATTCAAATTTTAACAATATGCTTGATTTCTAAAGGTCTCCTTTTTTTTATACACCCTGTATTTCAAATAAATGTTTCAACAATACATCATATCCGCACAATAAAACGAATTAACCAATCACAACAGTCATTTCTTCTCGTTTCCGGTCAACGTGCGCGCGCATTGGTCTCACACGGCCTACCTGGGAACTAATCGACACGGGTTGTTGCTCTCGAAAAATTGCTGACACGACATAGCTAAACCTGCAGGATAACTACTCACGTGGATGGAACATGAAGCGTAACAAGCAGCAAGAAAAGCGAAACTGACCACAGAGGGGGGAAGCATGGGTGGAAAGCTCGACGCAGCTGATCGCGAATGCCTCGTTGCTATAACTCTTCATTAGCCAATTCAAAAAAGGTTGTCCCTTTGCACTAAGCCTTAGGTCCCAGTTACACGATATCGGATTCGTATCGGAGCAACATCAATTTAAGGTGTTTTCCAGTCTATTACAACTTTTCATATATGAAGTTTTTGTCATAATTTTAAGTGCCAAATTCACCTCGAAGCAGCAAAATTTGATGTCTTTCCGATGCGAATCCGGTATCGTGTAACTGGGGCCTTAAACTCTAAACCTTAAACTCTAAGCGCGCAAAGCTTAATGGGAGCACAAGTTTCAAGCTTAGTAGTTGAATTGCAGCTATTCTAAGTGCAGTCATGCGTAACATAGGGTTTAAAAGACTGAGTTGATATTCACTCGGGGTCAGTTTGTTAAACGAGACGCTCTTGGATATGGGGTTTGACCCAGCGGTATAGTGGGAGTGCAGTTAATAGTTCATATAGTCTTTAGTTTAGGTATATTGTAATCGTTTTTGTATTTCTTGTAAGGTAAACAATCATGGATTTGCATTGCGTGGGTGTGTTTCTTTTTCTTCCTTGGGGTTTGTTGCCGTTTCTTCCCGCCCGCCCCCTCCCCAAACGACTGGTACCTGCGCAGCTCTTAAGCCGGTTTTCCACTTATGAGTGGTGAGCACGGTGAGCACTGGTGAGCATGCGCTGTGATGCGCAGATTGAAAAGAGGTTTATAAATCACGTACTTCCGGGTGTATTCGCGTATCAACTAAAAAATTCGTCGCAAGTCAACTTTTTGACGTACTACGGAAGTACTAACCAATCAACATTCACGAAATTTTGAAATTTAAAAACGTTTTTAATACGTTTCGGTACGGTACGTTTGAAGTGGAAAACCGGCTTTAGGCTTACAGGCTCGCATTTCCCATAACTCTCTTCCCGTAAGCCTATGAAAGTATGGTTGCAGTTGGAATAGATTACAATGGTCGGGTCCCGACCATTGGAATGTAGGCCTGCGCAGAACGTATGCACAGAACGGACTTTACATGGTCTTTAATTCGCTGTTGAGGTGATTCATCAGCAATTGTTCTCAAAATGAGAATTTGCTGAAACTTCCCAGGGGTGAAGTTTACGATGTGCTCATAAAACGGAAAAAAGTTGGTATGGGGTCACCGAAATTGATCACAATTGACAAGTGCAATATGCCACCTAGCTTTCCCCCATACGGTTCCATCTTGACCCTTTTACGAGTTACAGGAACGATTGCTCAATCGTTATTGAATTTTTTAACAAGGATCCTACTAAAAATGTCTATCTAGTGATTATATATATAGGCCTACAAGAAAACATGCTATTTTAGCGAATCAAAACCATCGACGTGCATTGTCGTGGTGCAAAGATGTCTTTTCCCATCCGTCTCAGATGCTTGCTTCTCTCTGGGATTCTGCCCGAGTATAATGAATTAAATTTATTGGTCTTTACTTCGTAATCTGTTTGTCACGAGTGCGCCTGATTCATCTAGCCTTTATGGTTATTTCAGGCAGACAGAACCCATAAAATGTTGAACATTTGTCAAAAAATGTAAAATAAATTCTTGTAAAAAGTGGGTTCAAATAAATTGTTTTGTTTTTGTTGTTTACTTACAGCGGGAGGGAACACTTTTGCATACACTCTAAATGGTTGACTCCGTATTTGAGAGAGGGGCCTTGATAGAGGATTTATGGTTATTTATTCATTTATTCTCTTCCTTTCCAGGATATTTATGCTTAATACTAATTATCTAATGGGGTAGTGATATTTCACCTTGGATATATTTACAGTATATTGGGTGAAATGTTCCAAGTTAGATCTCCAGCTGTGTTAAAAAAATAGTTCACAAAATAAAAATGTGGAATTCTTTACACACACAGAAACAATATTCTTTACTTTCGAGACCATGCAGTAAACTAAATATGATTAATTCATCCATCCACAAATGTAAATAGAATTAATTAATGTCACTCTCCATTTCAGAGGATAATAATTGTTTTGCAGTTTGACCAGTTGGGGCAATTAGTCCACTTTATGCATGGTTCAATCCTTCCAGTTTCCGTAGGGAAGGCAAATATAAATGTTCACATGCGAGGGGCTTTGGGCCTAGCCCACGAACCCACCACAAGATGTTTCCCACCACCACCAAACCCACAATGGCGTTGGAATTCTTTGAGAAATATAATTTTCTTTCTTACGTATTTCATAATATGCCTATAGATCAGAGATTGCATTGCCAGTGGCAAGAAAAATGCATCCTGTAAGTGAATTCAAAGGATGACATTTGTAAAATTTCAATTTATAACATGTTTGTGTGCAATAATGGTTTGTGAATGTTGTTCCCCCAGGGTGGGGAATTGGATTTCTTTATTTGCCCGGGGGTGGGGAATTTTGGAAATAAAAATCATTTTGGAAATAAAAAATCTGCAAATCCCTGGGGGTTGCCAGGGGGGGGGGGGTGGTAACAGGAAGAATTGAATGTATGAACAGATGTGTAACTTCAGTAAACAAGTTGTCCCATGTTGGTGTAATGTACTCAGGTGAATATGATGCTTGTGATGTTACTCTGAGTGTATATCCACACCAGGCAGGCTTGAAAAATATGCCTGACCACGGTGGGAATCGAACCTATGACCTTTGGAATACTAGCCCAATGCTCTGCCAACTGAGCTACATGGTCTGGTCGGTTTGATCACATACTCGAACCGACCTGACCGCGTAACTCAGTTGGCAGAGCATTGGGCTAGTATTCCAAAGGTCGTAGGTTCGATTCCCACCGTGGTCAGGCATATTTTTCAAGCCTGCCCGGTGTGGATATACACTCAGAGTAACATCACAAGCATCAAGTTGTCCCATGGTGGCCATCTTCCTCGCAAGTGTCACTCATGTGATAATTTGTCAGTTGGTAATATGTCATTGCCTTCATGCTCTTGGAATGTTACGCCACGCCATCTTCTTAGCAAGTGTCATGTTGTGTACAGTTTAGGGAAATTTGAGGACATGAAGTCCTATGAAATTACACATCTGATATATACTTAATCTGTGGCCCTGTGTACAATAAGCACCATACTGGCATTGTTCAACAGCTGGTTGGTTGGTTGGGATCAACACCTGGTTCTCGTTACAAAGTTTCTGAATCTATCAGCGAGGTACTGATCTCCTGTACCTAGTATAATATCCTGAATTAGTCGATAAAAAGCTTCATCAATTGTGGACTTCTCATAAGAATTGCCCACCAAATGTTTAAGTCCCTTCTCCCGGGTCCAATCATCAACTTCAATTTGGCTTATACGTCGTGTGATGTCTAGATCAGTTTTGTTGCCAAAAACAATTTTATTCTGCCTGAACATTCTACCAACGTCCCTATATTTGTCACACATAGTGCTGAAGGAATCCAAGGATGTTATATCATAGACAAAAATACACCCATCTGGATTTGATAAGGATGATCTGAACTTTTCTACATAAATGTGCACTAAATCTTTTGAACCAATATACTTGTACTGAACAGCATGATCAGGCATATAATCTTGGCCAAAAAATGATTTAATAATAGAACTTTTCCCAACTTTATCGCCTCCACACACGGCAATAACCAGCTCCATCATTTAATATTGTAGACTTTTAGTATGCTCTCTGAACGTGTTTAATTTTATTTTTAGAAAATAAAAATACACTGTAAAAACATTCACAAAGTCCTGTCAAAGTTTCGATTCCTGTTCTATATCTGCGTCTGCCGGCATTGTTCAGCGGTATCTCTTCGCATTCAGTTCACATCCAATGAATCCAAGTGAATCCAATGTTCACATCACTCAGTGGTTCAACATCCAATGTTCATATCCCGCTGTTCTGAGCGGTCTTGTCAGTTCTGAGAATTCTTCTGCTGAACGTCCTTGGTGTTCTGAGAGAGAGTTCTCGTTGTTCTTAACTTCTTACTGGTCTTGGTGTTCTTAGTGGACTTGCCGTTCTTGGAATTCTTGGTTTCTGAGCGTTCTTGGTTCTCGCCTCACTTCACAAGACATAAGTTTGATAAAAAGTCGGAAAGAGAGTTACGTCAAATTTAACTTCTCATGTTAGTTGAAAGAACTACCTCCTCCGCAGGCCTTTCAAAAAAATAAAATTGGTGGGAAAGCAAGCCTTCGTCTCAAAATTCAACCTGCGAAAGGGCATACTCATTACGGGCTGTATGGCCTGCGGAGGACGTAGTTGAAAGAAAGCATCAGGAGAGATAAGAAATTGGGTGTAGTCGCTGGAAAAGTGGGCGTGGCTCGAACTTTTAAGTTAAAACTCGCCGAATTTCAGTCATACCGCTATGATACAGACACCCTCTCTAATTCGGACACAGGGAGGTGTTCGCGTTTTATAAAGGTTATTACGATCGATAACGTCACGTTAAGACCCACAACACATCTTCGTCATACTGCTTTATACAAGCCCCTCACTATTTGGATCGAACTCCTAGTCTCCTACAACATAATGCTGCACCTAAATAAGTACACAACGCGTGATGTTTGTGTAACTGGGAACGATTATCACCTGATTACGGAAGTGAGCGTAGTGAAGCCAGCCAGTAGGGGTGTGCTAAATTTGTGCTTGAAATATCTGTGAAGTAAACAATACAAAACATCATTGGAAAATTGTTAGTCCAACAATGTGGAGTCCGTTTGAACATGCTTTTAAATTAAGAAAATCTATATTAGAAGTTTGTCGGGACGTAGCCATGGGCCCATAGGAGGCTGCATATCCGTACGTATTAGAGAAGTGTCCGTAGGGAGGGGTTCGAGTGTAAAACTTGGATTCGATCATGGTGCATCACGACCAGTAATGACGTTATCAAACACTTCCGAACATTTTAAAAGCAGAACGTACAATGAATTTTAAACAATAAAATGGCGGCCATTTTGGTGCCAAATTCAATGAAATATGAGATTCGTTTGTTCAAATACCACCATGACGTATCATATTACGACGCGATCAACTTGCACAGTGCTAATTCCCAAACTTACTCTTTCATGGTGTAACCTTTAACTGTTCTGAAAGGCCAAAGGAAAATAATCGTTGTTTGTATGTCAAGACTCAATAGACCTTTCCCCTGTTGAGTGAAACTTTGATCTAGACAAGTCTGGACAATAATTTCATCACAGCTTGAAAGAGCATCACAAAATTAGTAATATTCCGAAGTTTCGTTAGCCTTAGTCGTAGTAATATAGCCTTGCGAAGTTTGCCGTTTTTCAGTCATTTTGCATTACAAACGGGAAATTGATAATCAGATGATCAAACTGATAATCAATTTCCCATTTGTAATACAAAATGAATGAAAAGCGGCAAACTTCGCAAGGCTATATTATCCGCATTTTACAACATTTCGCAACGAAACTTCGGAATATTACTAATTTTGTGATGCTCGTTCAAGCTGTGATGAAATTTTTGTCCAGGCTTGTCTAGATCAAAATTTCACTCATAAGGGGAAGGTCTATTACAGCCATCCTAACTTTGGCAGTTAGCGTGTATTACATTTCATTAATTTAATCACTATGTGCCCCATAAGGTGGTCAGCGTGTATTAAGCGGTCACTTACAAAACCCCTGAGATTCTTACAGGTTTCACTGTACAATTATTGCAATTTCTTAATATATGGAACAATACTTGCAATCTTTTACATGTGTTTTAAAAGTTCAATATATTATACCCACCAGATTACCTACAGTAGCTATTATAGATATACGTATTGTACTGATCATTACATGAATTGACGAATGTTATTCTTAATTTGGCTTAACAGGTACAAAATGTTGGTAGTAACTCTTGGTGATATCAGTCATAATATCTTGCATACATTCTGGTAACATACTGGTGAATGTACCAGGAGAACCACCATATAAAGTGAATGGTGGTACAACAGTTTCTGGAGGTAACACAGTATTATCAGCAATAGCACAACAATCTTTAAGAATTGAACGACGTCCAATAACACAATTTTTACCAATATGGACATACGATCCAACTTGCGCTGCATTGATAACACAGTCTTCTTCAATTAATACGTTATCACCAATATGTAATGGAAAGAAAGCCACACCTTTACTGAACTTTTTGAATGGTGGTCTGATTACTGATCTTTTACTTATAACACAGTTTCTACCAATTCTGACATTTGCGAGGTCACCACGTATGATACAATCAGACATAATGATAGTTTTGCCATTGAGTACAATATTCTGACTGCCACACAGTACTGACTGACGACTCACTTTGTTCCCAGATGCTGTTTCAATATATTCATCTTTGCTATAGGTCATGTCCTGCAGCTCCATTTTCAAATACACTGAAAAATTTAAATTTATACTTACTGCATGAAAATTACTGGATACATTTTTATTTAATCACGGTAGTTTCATCAATTGTAGATATAAGATATTTACATTAATTTGTTCTTCCTAAAAGCTGTGAATATTTAATATAGATAGATACACAATATACAGTATATATGCCATAAATATTATACTGTAGAAAGAGATCATATTTTTAGTAATGCACTGATGGGGTCTCTTTCATCACATGTGGAAGAGAATTTAAACGTTTTGCACAAGTAAAAGCAAAGCTTAGTGTGTTCGATTTTTTGGAAGCTATTTCAAAAGTTATTTTGGGCCGTCTCGGATGATACGTTTCTAACTGCATTACAATGTGTAATCCATTAACTTGCAATGCGCCCTAATTTCTTATATAATTTCGATATCAAATTACTTCGCAATATAAGGAATTTCCAAGGAACCTGAGTGGATAGTTTTGTTGGTTTGTATCTGGTTCACCTGCAAATCACGTCAACGCCAACTTTTTGGAAATTACAAGCCCGGAAATAACCATGTGATTGCCTGATGATGGGCAGATATATTTCTGTGAAATGCATGCCCAACTGAAAAATTAGTGAAGAAGCTTGACGGTGATTATTGGTATTGTAAGGTGAAATTAATGGGGTGTCTAGATCCCATTTCCCAGCCCACTCTTTTTCCAAATCCCATTTCCAAGCCATTTTTTTTTTTACCAAATCCCAGTAAAAGAATATCCCTGAGCAGGTATTTCACATATGTGCTGAATTTTAAAACTTACAATATGCAGCTTTCATAGCTCTTTATACCTCACGAAGTAAAATGTTTAATTAAAGTCATATACCTGTCATTTTCTGTCATATACTAGACATAATTAAACGCTCTGTCACATTATTGCGTATGAGAGAAACGTATGAAAAGCGTATGAAAATTAATGAAATAATTTTCATACGCACAAAATTACAAAAATCCTTTGAAATGCCAGCGTATAAGTACCGTACATCTGGCGTACCTCTAGCGTATTCAGCGTGTACCTGGAGTATGGTTATCATATAAACCATACGTCCGAATATACGCACAAGCATATTTAAAAAAATGTTTCTGTCTCGCCGGGCCTCGGCGTATGCCAGCGTATGCGACCGTGCTTGAAACGTATACAACCTATGCGTAACGTACCCCTAGCGTATGTCAGCGTATACCAGCGTATGAGTGATATTTTTCATACGCTGGCATACACTAATACGATGTGCAATAGTGTGACAGGGCCTTAAATCACTGACTCGCAATAATAGAAGAAAAATGACCTCAAGCCGGAAAAGAGCAAAATGCAGTCTTCCAAGACTTTTTTGACAAACTCACAGTCATTCTCCGTACTTCCCTTGAAGTTATTTAAACTGTGAAATGATCAACTACAACTGCCTTTTTAATGGTATATGGGTTTTCCCACTCCTATTTTACTACGGATTTATACAAGCATTTTAGTTTACTACCATTTTTTCTCAGAAGATTGAGTTTTAGTAGGAGAGCACTCCCCCACTTCCACCAAAACACTATTCAATGATCAAGTGCTTTATTCCTTTCACAATACACCCTTTCGATAATTACGTCACGTCTAACACTGTTTTCAACTTAGGACCACCTTAAATGGAAAGGATTTCAAGTTTTTTTCTCATCGGCTATGCACAGAGAAGCAGAACATCCTTCTTCAACACATGCACAAAAAAATTTGGATTTTGATCAATAAATATGGAAATAAGCATTAACACGAGAACGAGGCTCCAGGTCATGACCTGGAGCCTCGTTTTCGTGTTAAAGTTTATTTCCGCATTTATTGGTCAAAATAAATAATTCTTTTTCATGCATGTGTTGAAGAAGGATGTTCTGCTTCTCTGTGCATAGCCAATGAGAAAAAACTACTTGAAATCCTTTCCATTTAAGGTGGTCCTAACTTGAGAACAGTGTAGTTGTGACGTAATTATTAACAAAAGGGTGTATTAATTATTCACATTTGCCACAATTTCATAACAATAGCAGAGAAGATTGATTTTCAAAACTCAATTGAATATATTGAGCCTACTAACTGTATACCATTAGCAGAAATGTGCTTGTATTAAATCTCTGCATTTTTGTTTCTGTCATTCCCAAATGTTCCCAGTCCCAAATCTCATTTTCCCAGTCCAAAAATAGGCAAATTTCATTTCCCATTTTATCCCATCAGGAACCTCTTTTGACACTTTGTCAGCTTGCTTGCTTAGTTAGGCCAATGGAAGTAAGTTGTCAGCTTATTTTACTGTGACCTAGCTAGCTGCCTAGTTGTAGTTTTCTGCTGTGGCCAATTACAATTCATTGATTACTTTTCAAGCAACAACTGCTATTTGGTTCTTTTCAAATTTCTGATAAATTGACTGGACACATAAACAGAATAAGGTACGTATCACACTGAATTCACTACCAGAGCATGCAATTAATATTTTCTTCTCTTAGTCCACCAACATACAAGAACCTTAGCGTTTGATAAGACTTTCTTACATACATTGCTAGTGCTCAGTGTAACACTGTATACAGCAACTCAAGGTGCGATAAGTTGATACACTACCTTTCTTTTGCTCAAGTTTGCATCAAAAATTTTAATTAATTACTCAATAAGCAAATACTAATGAGTAGAGAATACTGTTTAGTTTAGGCAGCTATATTATTATTGTAGTATGTATATGTAATAAGTTCTTTGTATGTTTGCATGGTGATAAAACATATAAACACGTAAATTAATTACTGCAAAGTTTTCGATCCGTAAGCTCGGATCTTCATCAGTGCAATATGACATATTATTAGCACTGATGAAGATCCGGGCTTATTGGATCGAAAGCTTTGCAGTAATAAATTTACGTGGTGTTTCCACAAACAAAACTATTATAGTATGTATATGGTTTTTGTCTATTATAATCAGCTTTCTTGCCATTCAAATTACAATATACCACTCCTCGAAAACGAGGTCGGCATTCAGCAATCCCGACCTAAATGCCGATCTATCAACCTCCCAGGTTGGCAAACATTCGTGTGAATGCGTGATTTTACTAGAGTTCCAAGACATGGAAACAGATTTAAAAAAATGCCGAGACGTGCCGACCAAGGTCAGATTTAGGGCAGTATTTTTTTGCCAACCTCAAATTTGACGGTTTTCGAGGGCTAAATTACAAATGTGGATAACAGGATATATACAGTAGTTATTGTCAGTAGTGAATCACATTTCTTGTTCAGTAGTGGAAGTTGTAGCTGACTACACTTTTCGAATACTAGCTGTAGCGAACTTCAATGAAAAGTTCCTGCACATAAATAGGCCAGTGTGCAAAGTTTGTATCGCACAACTGAGATATCGGACACACAATTTTGATGTTTTCTATATATTTGCTATTAAATTTTCGAAATCTCGGTTGCACATTTCCAAACTTTCCAGCAAGGTAAATAGGGTTTTTCAGGTTCCATCGATCAGCTGTAGTGCAGGTCATCTGATTATGAATGCCAACCTGTCAGACATAAACCATGGCAGCTCATAGCTGATAGCTTGTTAGTTTTACCATTAAAGTCTAACCCTTCCCCCTTGAAGAATATTAACACTGTCATTTGACATGCAGCTAGGGTATAAAAGATCATTTAAATACTCATTTAAAATTTTAAATACTCATTCTGATTCTCAATCTATCTAAATTTTATATACTTTTAGTAATAAATTGCTGAATTGAATTACAACTATGTTTCCTATTAACATATAGCAACTAATATACTCACCAAACTCCTGGCAAGTTATGCTTCGAAATTTAAAAATATTTTTTGGAAAAAGATATTGAGATCTATCTCTTCTTTCACACACCTTTTTTGTTTGCGAGCCTGCGATCTTTTTTAAGAGGCACTTGATGTAATCAACATTGAATGTCCGACAAACTGTTGACAAAACTGTGGGTACGCTGTGTCTAGCAAAATTTTTTTTCGTTCGCGCCAAAATTAAAAAAGATGGAGGACAGTAATGAGACGTTGGTCCCTGAGAATGGAGCCGCAAATGACTGTGAAATGGCCCAATCCGAAGCAGATGAAGCCCAAACAAACGAGCAAGCAAAGACTGAAAGGTTGATGATACATAAAATGGTGAATGAGAACTTTAAATCGTACGCTGGAACACAGGAACTTGGCCCATTTCACAAGGTACTACATTATTATATTAAAGTGTACTTTTAAGACTTTTACATTGTTTATGCGACAATGCACCCGATATATTTACTTTTAGGGTGAGGAACATTTCCTTTGGTTACACTGGTTCCAAAAATTTATTTTCTTGTTTTTGTTTTGATATTTTCCTTGCCTTGTGAGAATATTTTGACTCTGAAAGTCAATATTTGAACCCTCGTTCCGCAATTGGGGACTTGTTTAAAATCTTTATATCAAGTTTGCAATTGCAGGGTAAAATTGTTGATGGCCCCTAAACCTGTGGTTGAAAGTGGTCAAAGTACCACCAATTTCCAGGCAAGTATTGTTCAGTCGGTAAAGGTTCATCTGATTGATCTGAAGATCAACTGGTCCCAGGTCAGACTGCATCCTTTACGAAACAT